CTTGAGCTCAGGTCATGATCCCAGGGTCTTGGGATTGAACCCAGTCGAGCTCTCTGCTCAGTGGGGAGTCTGCTTCTCCCTCCCTGCTCCCCCTGCTTGTGCTCTCTGTCAAATAAATAAAATCTTAATAATAATAATAATGAAAATGTTTAAAGTGATATTACTTTTACCTGAACATTTCTTTGGCATTTTCTTTTTTTTTTAAATATTTTATTTATTTATTTGACAGAGAGAGAGAGAGATCACAAGTAGGCAGAGAGGCAGGCAGAGAGGTGGGGGGAAGCAGGCTCCCTTCTGAGCAGAGAGCCCGATGTGGGGCTCGATCCCGGGACCCCAAGATCATGACCTGAGCCGAAGGCAGCAGCTTAACCCACTGAGCCACCCAGGCGCCCCTCTTTGGCCTTTTCTTCATGCGTGTTGATATGGTAGTCTCATATTTTAAAATTATCAAATAGAAATACATTTCTACAATCTATTCATTTTATGAGCAAAATGACCAAAAAGAAATCTGAATCCAGAGTACGTAAACACTGAAACTTATCTTAACAACATAAACAATTCTACACTCTAAATGTTGAGTCGAGTTTACAATAAAAAGTTTGAACACTCCTTTTAAATTTTTAACCTACTTGATCTAATAATGCCAATAAGTGAAAAGAAGGAAAATGCATAGGTCTATTTTATGATTATAAATCAATGAAAGGGCGCCTGGGTGGCTCAGTGGTTAAGGCCTCTGCCTTCGGCTCGGGTCATGGTCCCAGGGTCCTGGGATCGAGCCTCACATCGGGCTCTCTGCTTGGCAGGGAGCCTGCCTCCTCCTCCTCTCTCTCTCTGCCTGCCTCTCTGCCTGCTTGTGATCTGTCTATCAAATAAATAAAAAAAAATCTATTAAAAAATTTTAAATCAATGAAATTTGTAATTAATATTTCAGCTTATACCCGGAGAAATTAAGACCTCAACTACTGAGACATTTAAAGTTACCATTTTAGTAATAACTGAGAAAACATGAATAGAAATAATGGCAACTCTTAAGTATGCTCCATTATTGTCTCTGGGGTTTTCTTCTGTTGAAACCCATTCTGACACACCTGTGTACTGGCACAGGTGTGATGACTACACACTAGAGGCACGTGGCCAACAACAAATGTAAGGTACTTCTGGATAACAGAGATATGAAATTGTAAAAAAAAAATGATTCTAAAAAATTAGTATCAGGGGAAACAGCAAAGTCAGCTTTTCATGATAATACTGTGACAAGCACTCCGGGTTTCTGAGTAGCTGGTAAATTGTGTGTTCCCTACCTGGGATTTTCAGATTCAAGCTGAGAAATGCCTTCAGTCATACTCTATTGAGTATCTTCGTAAGTCTTTATGAATAGTAGTATTGTGGGTATCTGCACAGCACAGGACAGAAAGCTGTGTTGTTAATTCAGTCATCCTTACTAGAATTTTGCAGTTTAGCTGGTATGTGTATTTTTATTATTTTATTTCTCTAATTAACAAAAAACTATGTAGGCTTTGTGCTCATCTTGGAGCCCAGTGCTGAGCTTGAACTCAGGACCCTGAGATCAAGACCCGGGCTGAGATCCAGACGCTCAACCAACTGAGCAACCCCAGTGCCCCCAAGCAGGGTTTTATAAACTGTGCTAAGGAGTTTATGTCTTATTCCAGGGCAGAGGGAAGCCGCTGAAGGGTTCTGAGGAGAGTGATATGAACATTTAATTTTTAGGGCCGCCTGGGTGGCTCAGTGGGTTAAGCTTTTGCCTCCAGCTCTGGTCATGATCTCAGCGTCCTGGGATCGAGCCCCGCATTGGGCTCCATGCTCAGTGCCGAGCCTGCTTTCCCCTATCTCTCAGCCTGCCTCTCTGCCTACTTGTGATCTCTCTCTGTATCAAATAAATAGGTAAAATCTTAAAACACACACACAATTTCTAAACGTTCATCTTGGCTGTCTTGAACAGCATGCATTGAGAAAGGCAAGATTAGACGTGGATCGACTATTCAGGTGACTATGGTAATCCGGACTGGCATGACAATTGATTTCTTTTGGTTTCTGAAGTAAAGAACTGGAGTTTCTGCACAGAGGAAAGGACTATCTTTCATCTGGTTGCTCTGTTGCTCAAGGGGATCGCCCCTTCTAGTACCAATGTTCATAAACCCCAGGTCCACACAATTTTCCGCTTCAAAGCCAATCTCCGTACTTGCCTCTTTTTCACATCTAACTTTTCCTTTTGAATTTATTCCTATATCATGTTTTTTCTTTTATATGTCGTAGTTCAGGACAATGGCTTCTCAACCCTGCCTACGGCTTTTATCAACCAGAATGCTTTCAACAAAATCACAGCACTCAGTTTACAGATTTGGGGCTTTATTGTAAGAAGGAAAAACACTAAGGAAAAGACTGTGTAACAGATCCCCACACCACCACCAATTAATAATCAGACACTGAAAATATTTGGAGCTTTTATTTTTATTTATTTATTTATTTATTTATTTAAGATTTTACTTACTCATTTGAGAGAATGAGACTGAGCGAGCAAGCACGAGGGGGTTGGGAAGGGACCAAGGGAAAGGGAGAAGCAGACTCCCCTGCTGAGCAGGGAGCCTGGCGGGGCTCCTTCCCAGGACCCTGGGATCAGGACCTGAGCCGAAGGCAGATCCTTATCTAACCGAGCCACGCCGCTTTTAAACGACACGTTCTCATTTTATTCAGAAAGGAGACCTATCCGATGAGGTATTATCTCCATCTTAACGATGGTACTGAAGGCCTGCAGTTCTCTCCCCTCGCTCTGCAGACGCCCCCCCAAAGGACAGGCACCGATGTCCCCGAGCCCTCTGGGAAGTGGAGTCCTTCCGCCGGGACCCCCGACCTGGCGCGGTCGCCTCCAAGTGCGCAGATGCGACTCCAGACGGAGCCTCGGGCTCGAGCCTTTTGTTTCCCCGCAGCTCCGCGAGTCCAGAAAGCGACTCCGTCCGCCCCTCCTGTCTTTCCCAGAACGCAGCCCGGCGGGGACCCGCTCTGTGGCCGGAGCCGAGTCCGCAACGCGTCCAGGGGTAAGAGAAAGCTGGGCCCGAGGCGCGGTGCGACCCGCCGGTCCATGCGCGCGGCTCCCACGCCTCCCGCAGCCAGGCTCTCAGATTCCGGCCCCGGCAGGGGAAGGGCCGACCCTGCCCGCGCATCCCGGGCCCACTCCCCGGCGCTCTGCGTACTCCTCTCGCTTCCCTAGCTGGGAGGCGAGCCGAGTTCGTAGATTTCGCAGCAAGCGACAAGGCGTCCCGGAAGCGCAGTTGCCGCTAATCCCTCTGGGAAGTGGAGTCCAGGAGGTCAGGGGAGGCGTAGCCAACAGGGGGATTCTGGGAGCGGGAGTTCGGAGACGCGGGAGCTTGAGCGCCTCCCATCGGTTTTGGGCTTAAATCATACTACTCTACCAAGAGCCTTACCCGAACTTCTGGGACACAGAGGAAAAAAAAAAAAATGGGGTCCGTGTGTTACTCATTACCCTTCTGTGCTTTGCTCTATCAGAGTTTTGGGGTCTTTCTGTTACTTTGGAGCCAATGCAAGGAGTTGACTCTACACACACACACACACACACACACACACACACACCAGAGTTTTGGGGTCTTTCTGTTATTTTGGGGCCAATGCAAGGAGTTGACTCTTCACATACACACACACACACGCACACACACCCTGGAATGCAAGGATTTGGTCAGAAGCAAGGAAAACCTCTGTTGTCATGCAGTTTTCAAACTAGGAAGTGGAGCCTTCGTCTACAAACCGAGAATACACTTCGAAGGGGAAGGATTAGGCTCCAGGTTAAAGACGCACAAACCACAAGTTTCAGGTGCCGAGAGACAAGCAGGATAGTTAATAAGTTATTTCTGGTGGCAGTTTCAGGATGTGGCAGCCATTCAACAAGATGTGCTGCAGGTGTCCTTTTTTCTTTCTTTCTTCTTTTGCAAATTTTGTTGAATTTTGTGCCATCCTGTCACTTTAGTCTGTGCTGACTGGTTTTGTTCCTCATGGTTATTCAGCCTGATTAAAAGTTTAGTTTTTTTCTCCCTTGACAGGAGGGAACCCATCTTGTCTGATAGTTATTACTGTCTAATTACCAAAGTCTTTTGTTCTCCTTCTGGCCATGCAAGGGAACGCCTGTCTATACATTTTCAGGGCCTTTATTTTTTTTTTTAAGATTTAAAAAGTATATATTTATTTGTCAGAGAGAGAGACAGAGAGCACAAGCAGGGGGAGAGGCAGGCAGAGGGAGAAGCAGGCTCCCCACTAAACAGGGAGCCCGATGGGGGACTTAATCCCAGAACCCTGGGATCATGACCTGAGCCGAAGGCAGATGCTTAATGGATTGAGCCACCCAGGCGCCCCCATTTTCAGGGTCTTTAAAAAAGAGCAGGTGGGGAATCAACTGCATAAGGGCCCCATCTGTCAACTGCCTGTCTTTATGAATAAGGATGAAGCAATGCTGGGAGTCTTGCTTATAGTTACTGCTATCATAATCATAGGCCACCTTATGGCCAGTTGTGTGCTTTAGGGTCTCATGGGAGTTTTGCACAGTCTGGAACCAGGTGTGAGGATCCTAGTTCCCTGCCCTGATTCTCTCCTGGTTTTGTCCTGGTGTGGCATGTAGTGACTGATCTCAGCATTCTAGAGAATGGTCTTCTAGCTGTGGAGATTAATTTAGCCTAAATAATAAAGGTTTCAGGCGCCTGGGTCGCTCAGTTGGTTAAGTGACTTCCTTCGGCTCAGGTCATGATGCTAGAGTCCTGGATCGAGTCCTGCATTGGGCTCCCAGCTCGGCGGGGAGTCTGCTTCTCCCTCTGACCTTCTCCCCTCTCATGATCTCTCTCAGTCAATCTCTCAAATAAATAAATAAAATCTTTAAAGATAATAATAAAGGTTTCAAGCAAAGAAGAATTACTTTTGAGGCCCTAGGACTTAACTGCATAGGAATAAGCCTCCTAGGAGTAGAGATAGAGAGAGGGAGATGCCCAGGGAGTAGGAACCAATTCCAAAGGATGGTGAGCCTAACCTCAAAAATCTCTCTCCAGAGTTTCAGAGTAGCGTTGAATGATTTGCACAAAGAAGCAGATTGTGTATTGCTGAAAAGTCCATATCTATCTCATCTGAAACTGTGAATAAGAAGGAAGTCATAGCAATAACAGGACAAGAAAGGAGAAGCTGATCATGGATTATCTGACCATTGAAGCTGAGGAAGAAGGTAAGAATTACAGAAATAGCTGTGGAGAGAGAATATTACACCTTTCTTGCTTTTATGATAAAAGGAAGCTCACGCTTTTCCACTCCCTGTTAAACTCTTCCAAAAGATTGATGAATTGTGGGTCTACAACTTTAGCTTTTCGGGCAATACGCTTTTACTTTATCGTCTTACTCTATCCTCATCCCACCTTTTTGAGTTAAGTCGAGTAGGCCTTGCCTATATAATTTAGCTGGCTTGTGATAGCTTTTGTCTTAGTTAATAGAGTTTACCTCCTTCATGGCTTTTTCCCCCCTAGTCCTTCCAGCCATTATCGCTGAGGATGCCTCTCTGCCCCAAAAACAGAACACAGAAGAAATGGAATCTACTGTTGAGCTACTTCCTGTTGAGTTCCAGGCAAGTTTGAGTTTAACTTCCCCCGTCTGAAATCTTAGCTTGATGTTCGTGATGTGTCATTTCCTTTTTCATCTTGCTTCAGAGGTCCACAACAATCTCTACTACAGAACTGAACCAAAGTAATTTTTCCTTGAAGACTTGAAGTTCTGGGGAGAGCTCAGGCTCGAGCCTTGAATTCGGAAGTAATCTGTGTGAATGGCATTTTAGGCCATGATACTGTGATCACTAAGGGAATAGAAAAGAGATGAAATTTTATTACTGAGTCCTTTAGCTCTTCAACTCTTAATGGTCAGGGAGATGAAGAGGAACCAGCAAAGGAGACTGAGAACGTGTGTGGCCAGTGAGGTAGGGGCAAGTCAAAAGTGTGGCATCCTGGTAACTAATTGGAGAAAGTGTTTCAGGGAGTAGGGAGTGAGGGGCACCTGGGTGGCTTCGTCGTAAGCGTCTGCCTTCAGCTCAGGTCCTGATCCCAGGGTCCTGGGATTGAGCCCCACATCAGGCTCCCTGCTCTATGGGAAGCCTGCTTCTCCCTCTCCCATTCCCTCTGCTTGTGTTCCTGCTCTCACTATCTCTCTCTGTCAAATAAATAAATAAAATCTTAAAAAAAAAAAAAGGAGTAGGAAGTGATCAGCTATGTTAAATGCTACTGCTAAGTCAAATACGATGAGGCCTGAGAATTGACCATTGGATTTGAAAAATATGACTGCCAAGAACAATTGCATGGAACAGTAGGAATGAAAGCCTGATTGAAAGGATTCAGGAGAAAGTAGGAGAGAAATTGGAGCCAGGGACTATGGACAACTATTTTGAGAGTTTTACTCTAAAGAAGAGGACACAAATACGGTGATAGTGGGGAGGAAGACCAAAGAGGGTTTGTTTGTTTGTTTTGGGTGTGTGTGTGTGTGTGTGTGTGTGTGTGTGTGTTGGAGGATTTTCTTTTTTAAATATAGGCAAAATAACAGATTGCTTATAGGTATGTGAGACTGGGTAGAGAAGCAATGACTGAGTTCTGGAGAACTCTAACACTTAGAGCCACTTTTCAAGCATTACTTCATTTATTTTAAACAAAAAATCATGTGAGTTAGGGATGATGCCTCTTTCACAGTAAAACTGAGGCTCACAGGCGCACCTGGCTGGCTCAGGCAGTGGAGCATGTGACACTTGTTCTCGGAGTTATAAGTTCAAGTTCCACATTGGGTGCAGAGATTACTTAAAAATAAAATCATTAGGAAAAAAACAAAAACAAAAACTGAGGCTTGCAGTAACTTGCTCAAAATCATAAGATAGTTGAATCCTAATCAGAACCCAGGAATGTCTGATCCTAAATCCTATGCCTGCTAACCACTGTAGTTTTCTTTCTTTTTTTTTTTTTTTAAAGATTTATTTATTTATTTTAGAGAGAGATAAAGAGAGCGTGAGCAGGGGGAAGGGCAGTGGGAGAGGGAGAGACAGAATCTCAAGCACACTTCATGCCAAGTGCGGAGCCCAACGTGGGGCTTGATCTCAAGACCCTGAGATCACGACCTGAGCTGAAACCAAGAGACGCTTAACCAGCTGTGCCACCCAGATGCCCTTTTAACCACTGTGTTCTACTGACTGACTTCCTCACAAAGTATTCTCCAGTTAATTATGGTCAACAACATATACTCCTATGACTGTCGATAAAACACAGAATATGAAGAACAGTTGATTATTTTCAGTTTACAACCAGTAAATCCGCTCATTCACAACTGTAGTTATTAAAGGATGACTAAATAAATCTGAAAGTAATAGCGCTAAGTACAGAGAAAGAAGAAGCCTCTGTTAGAACAAGATGGCTGTCTGTATACACTCAGGATATCAAGCGGAATGTCCTTAAAATCGCTGAATATTCCAGGAATCAGCATAAATTATATATTGGAGACTTATCTCATCTACAACAACTAAGTACAATTAGTAATTAACATTTTGGTTGTCATTCAGTGGTTAATTTATATTGGATTTATTTAGTAAGCTATGTAAGAGACAGAAAAATATAGTTAAGAGTATAGCTTTGATGTCAGATCACTGTTGTACACCTGAAACTAATATATTTTATGTCAACTATCCTTTGATTAAAAAAGAGGTAGCTTTGTAGTCAGACTGCCTGGGTCCACCTCTCAGATCTGGTCCTCACTTCTGTAAATAATGTTAATAAGAGTACTTACTTCATAGAGTTATCATTATAAGAGGTAGTTCAAAGGACTTAGCACATAGCAAATATAAATGTTAGCTGATATTATTTTCCTTAACACAGACTAATACTTAGAAATTTTAGACTATTCCATTAAAATAAAGATTTAACCTTCAGATTAAAAAATACTTCCTCTTCTAGATTGTTCTCTTCCCTAAGTCCTATAAGAATGTGCTTGCTCTTCCAGGAATTGGTGACAGTCAAGGATGAGGAAATGGACTTCACTCATGTAGAAGAAGAACAGCTGAATTCTGCCCAAAGGTACATGGGCATGGATATGAAAGTGGAGAATTGTGGGAGCCTGGTATTTTGGGGTAAGGAAGTTATTCTGTAATGCAAACTCCTTGCTGGGACATAAGCTTCTTCTGTAACTAATGGCATCGAAAATGCCACAGTTTTGCTTCAGATCCAGAAAGCATTAATGCCCTAGGAGATCCCTGATCACTCTAGGCTCAGCAATGGCTTCTTTTCTCTTTTGGCAAGTACAAGTTCACTGTCTCCGGTATTGAAAAAGGACAGTTTCATTACATTGGTTTTAAGATTTATAAAGTTACAGTAATCAAAACCCTGTGGTTCAGTGTGGTTCAAGGGAACAGAACAGATGGTCCAGAAATAGACCTACACATATATGGTCAATTAATTTCTGATAAAGATGGAAAAATCAATTCAATGCTAAAAGGAGAATCTTTCCAGGAAATAGTACTGGAACAATTGGACATCTATATGCCAAAAGAAAAATCCATACCTCCCACCATACACGTTACTTTCAATGGATCACAGACCTAAGTATAAAACCTAGAGGAACTGTTAAAGACAGTCTTTGCGACCTTTGTAAGGCAAAATTTTATTAGATATGATATCAAAAGCTCAATCCATGGGGCACCTGGGTGGCTCAGTGGATTAAAGCCTCTGCCTTTGGCTCAGGTCATGATCCCAGGGTCCTGGGATCGAGCCCCACATCGGGCTCTCTGCTCAGCGGGGAGTCTGCTTCCCTTCCTCTCCCTCTGCCTGCCTCTCTGCCTACTTGTGATCTCTGTCTGTCAAATAAATAAATAAAATCTTAAAAAAAAAAAAGCTCAATCCAATAAAGCCATCTGGGTCTTAGGTTGGCTTTCTTGGAAGGTTTTTAACCTTGAATCCTGGTCCCTTGCTAGAGATAGGACCATTCAGATGATCTGTTTCTTCTTGAGTGAGCTCTGGTAATGATTTACCATCTTTCATTCCTAATATTGGTAATCTATATTTTATCTGTTTTAATTTTGTTTTCTTAAGAGTTTAGCAGTTTTATTGATCTTTTCAAAGAACTGACTTTTGGGGCGCCTGGGTGGCTCAGTGGGTTGGGCCTCTGCCTTCGGCTCGGGTCATGATCTCAGGGTCTTGGGATCGAGTCCCGCATCGGGCTCTCTGCTCAGCGGAGAACCTGCTTCCTCCTCTGTCTCTCTCTCTGCCTGCCTCTCTGCCTGCTTGTGATCTCTCTCTGTGAAATAAATAAATAAAATCTTTAAAAAAAAAAAAAAGAACTGACTTTTGATTTCATTGATAACTTCTCTTGTTTTCTGTTTTCACTTTTATTCATTGATGCTCTTATCTTTACTATTTTTCCCCTTTGCTAACTTTAGGTCTAATTTTCTCTCCTTCCTTTAGTTTCTTAAGGTAGAAGCCTAATCACTGGTATACGATTTTTTTCTCTTTTAATATGAACATTTAATGCTATAAATTTCCTTCTAAGGACTGCTTTGGCTGCATTCCACAATTTTGATACGTGGTGTTTTCATTTTTTTAAAAAATATTTTATTTATTTATTTGACAGATAGGCAAATAAGTAGGCAAAGAGGCAGGCAGAGAGAGAGAGAGAGGAGGAAGCAGGCTCCCTGCTGAGCAGAGAGCCTGATGTGGGGCTCGATTCCAGGACCCTGAGATCTTGACCTGAGCCGAAGGCAGAGGCTTTAACCCACTGAGCCACCCAGGCACCCCATGGTGTTTTCACCCAGGCGCCCTGGTGGTTCAAAATAACTTCTATTTTCACTTGTCACTTCCTCCTTGACTCATGGGTTATTTACAGATTTCCAAATTTTAGATGATTTTCAATAAAATTTGTTTTCAATTCTGTGGTTTGGTTCTGTGTGGTCAGAGATACTTTGTTTGATTTCAGTTCTTTTAAATTTCTGAGATTTGTTGTATTACCCATAATATAGTCTTGATGAATGTTCCCATGTGAACTTGAAAATAAATTTAATTAGGTCAGGTTGGTTGAGAGTATTTAGATCTTCTGTATCCTTATTGATTTCCTGTCTACTGGCTTCTACTGATTACTGACAGAGAAGTGTTGAATTTTCTTTTTCTTTCTTTTTTTTTTTTAATTTATTTATTTATTTGACAGACAGAGATTGCAAGCAGGCAGAGAGGCAGGCAGAGAGAGGAAGGGAAGCAGGCTCCCTGTTGAGAAGAGAGCCCGATGCGGGGCTCGATCCCAGGACCCTGGGATCACGACCTGGGCCGAAGGCAGAGGCTTTAACCCACTGAGCCACCCAGGCGCCCCAAGTGTTGAATTTTCTGATTATAATTGTGGGATTGTCTATTTCTCCTTTTAGTTTTATCAGGTTTTGCTTAAAGTATTTTGCTTAATGTACCTGAAACTCTTTTGTTAGATGTATACACATAACAAATTATCTTCTTGGTGAATTTTTTAATGTCCCTCTTTAACCTTGGTAGTATTTATGTGGAGTTTTATTTTGTATGATGATAATATAGCCACTCTGGGTTCCTGTTTGCATAGTATATTTTTTCTATTTTTTTCTTTTTTCTTTTTAAGATTTTTATTTATTTATTTGACAGACAGAGATCACAAGTACGCAGAGAGGCAGACAGAGAGAGAGAGGAGGAAGCAGGCTCCCTGCTGAGCAGAGAGCCCGATGCGGGGCTCGATCCCAGGACCCTGGGATCATGACCTGAGCCGAAGGCAGAGGCTTTAACCCACTGAGCCACCCAGGCGCCCCTATTTTTTCTATTTTTTAAAAACCTATTTAATGTAAGTTTCTTGTGGCCAGCATATACATTGGATCCATTTTTTAAAATTAATTAATTTATTTGAGAGAGAAAGAGAATGAGCAGGGGGAGGGACAGAGGGGGAAGGAAAAGCAGACTCCCTGCTGAACAGGGAGCTCAACACGGGGCTTGATCCCAGGACCCTGGGATCATAACCCAAGCCGAAGGCAGATGCTCTACGAACTGAGCCACCCAGGTGCCCCGTCACCAGTTCTTTTACAGAACAAAGATAAACTGTCAGGAGAAAGAGGATAATTGTGTGAAAATATGTGATGTAATTGAGGTGCTGTCACTACATCAGCAATCATATTATATGAATACATCAAATGACCATGTTGTGTACCTTAAATTTACATGTCAAGTATATTTCAATTTTTCTAAAAAAGCAATGAATACCATGGACTGGATGAGGTCTTTAATGGAGACAATGTTGTGGGGATGGGGAGGGGCAACAAAGGAGAGGTTAGATTGAATACCAGGAAACATCAACATTTAAGAAGAAGAAACAGAGGGATGCCTGGGTGGCTCAGTGGGTTAAGCTGCTGCCTTCGGGTCAGGTCATGATCCCAGAGTCCTGGGATCGAGTCCCACATTGGGCTCCTTGCTCAGCAGGAAGCCTGCTCCTCTCTCCGCCTCTGCCTCTCTGCCTGCTTGTGCTCTCTCTCTCTCCCCCTCTCTGACAAATAAATAAATAAATAAAATCTCTAAAAAAAAAAAAAGAAGAAGAAACAAAGGAAGTCCCAAATAAATAGAGACCAGGAGTAAACCCTTGACAGCTTAGAATCACAGAAGTCAAGAGAGAACACATGTCAATTATATCCGAATGAAGTTGGGGGAAGGAAGGGGGGGGGATGTTGTTAGGAAGGAGGCATGGTCACCACTGTCAAGTGCTGTTGAGAGGCCAAGCTAAACAAGGAATGAAAACAATCCACTGGATTTGGGTGACCTCTAAATGGTTAGTAACTTCAGTGAGAGCAGTTGCAACTGAGCAGTAGGGAGAGAAGTGAGAACAGGAGCAAGGATGTGATAAGAAAATGTATGAAACCTTTTTGAGAAATTTGGGTATGACAAAAAAATAAGGAAGAAAGAAAGGAGGAAGAAAGGAAGGGAAGAGGGACGCCTGGGTGGCTCAGTTGGTTGGACGACTGCCTTCGGCTCAGGTCATGATCCTGGAGTCCCGGAATCGAGTCCCGCATCGGGCTCCCGGCTCCGCAGGGAGTCTGCTTCTCTCTCTGACCTTCTCCTCACTCATGCTCTCTCTCACTGTCTCTCTCTCAAATAAATAAATAAAATCTTAAAAAAAAAAAAAGAAAGGAAGGGAAGAAGGAGAGAAGGAAGGAAAGGAGGGGGCAGTGGTTAATGGAAACACAAAATCGTATTTAAAGTGTATGGTAAAAAAAAATAATAAAGTGTATGGTGAACATGAAAAACGTCTGTGCCTTTAAAAAGGGACTGGAGTGGGGCACCTGGGTGGCTTAGTCGGTGAAGCGTATGACTCTTGATTTTAGCTCAGATCATGATCTCAGTGTTGTAAGATTGAACCCTCTCACTGGGCTCCATGCTGGGCATGGAGCCTGCTTTAGATTCTCCCTCTCCCTCTCCCTCTGCCCCTCCACCCACTGCCCCCTGCTCTCTCTCTTTCTCAAGAAAGAAAAGAAAAAAAAGGGGGACCAGAGGGAACTATTTAAAAAGTCAAAAAGTGGTTATTTCCAGGTGATTATTAGAAGTGATTTTTTTCCTTGTACTTTTTCAAAACTGCCCAATCTCAACTTTTCCTTTTCCCACCCTTCCTCAGATATTTTATATCAATGTTTATTCTCATCCCGCCAGGCTCTCCTCCTTCCTGACTTGTCTGCTCAGTTTTCCATTCTCTTAGGTAGACGCTCCTCATCGTCCTCTTCTTATGTCTTGTAATAGCCATTCTCCCATCTCTCTTAGTCCCTGAGACTCCCTCTACCATTGCCAGGAGGTGCTTTCTTTCTTTTTAAAAATATTTTATTTATTTATTTATTTGACAGAGAGAGACATGGTGAGAGAGGGAACACAAGCAGGGGGAGTGGAAAAGGGAGAAGCAGGCTTCCCATAGAGCAGGGAGCCCAATGGGCTCAATACCAGGCCCCCGGGATCATGACCTGAGCTGAAGGCAGACACTTAACAACTGAGCCACCCAGGTGCCCCCAGGAGGTGCTTTCTGAAAACATGCTAAAAACATGTTTAATAAGTGTCATTTTTATTTTCTTTTCCTCTTGCCAACTCAGTCATTTTTTTTCTTTCAACACAGAGAACACAAATATTTGTACTTTTTGTTTATTTCAGATTCTGAATCTATACCTGAAACTAAAGAATACTTTCCAAAGCAGGGACTTTATGATGAAATGTCATCTGAAAGAGATCTGATAATGGAGAGACTTAAGAAGGATGAGTCCTGGGACTCCAGACTGATAGAAACCTGGCAATGCGAAGACACATTAGAAAGGCGGCAAGGAAATCCGAAGAAAGATTTAAGGCAAATCATAATTAAACGCAAGAAAAACCCTGTGGAGGATTGTAATGAAACTGGTGAAAGTTCAAGCCCAATTCAACATCGCATTTACTCAGTGAAAAAGCCTTGGAAGTGCAATGAATGTGGGAAGGGCTTCAGTTACTACTCAGCCTTCATCCTCCATCAGAGAATTCATACTGGAGAGAAGCCTTATGTGTGTAATGAGTGTGGAAAGGCCTTCAGTCGGAGCTCATCACTTATTCAGCATCAGAGGATTCACACTGGAGAGAAACCGTATGAGTGTAACGAATGTGGGAAGGCTTTCAGTCATCGGTCAGCTCTTATCCAACATCATATCATTCATACTGGAGAAAAGCCCTATGAGTGCAATGAATGTGGGAAGGCCTTCAACCAGAGCACATACCTTATTCAACATCACAGAATCCATACTGGAGAGAAACCCTATAAATGCAAGGAATGTGGGAAAGCTTTCAATGATACCTCATCCCTTATTAAACATCAAAGGGTTCATACTGGAGAAAAACCCTATGGATGTACAGAGTGTGGGAAAGCCTTCAGTGACAGGTCGGGCCTCACTCAACATCAGAGAACTCATACAGGGGAAAAGCCATATGAATGCAGTGAATGTGGGAAAGCCTTCAGTTACTGTTCAGCTCTTATTCAACACCAAGGAACCCATACGGGGGAGAAACCTTACAAATGTAATGAATGTGGGAAAGCCTTCAGTGACCGCTCAGCTCTTGTAAGACATCAGAGAATTCATACTGGAGAGAAACCTTACAAATGCAAAGAATGCAAGAAAGCCTTCAGCCAGAGCTCATCTCTTACAAAGCACGTGAGAACTCATACTGGAGAGAAACCGTATAAATGCAATGATTGTGACAAAGCCTTCAGCCAGAGTTCATCTCTTATTCAACACCAGAAAACCCATACGGGAGAAAAACACTACAAGTGTAAGAAATGTGAGAAAACCTTTAACATGCGTTCAGCCTTTCATCAACACAAAGAAATTCATGATGAATAGAAAGCAGTAAATTCATGAAGTAACTATGTAGTCTCAGGGCACCCAGGTGGCTCAGTAGGTAGAGCATGCAAGTCTTGATCTGTGGGTTGTGAGTTCAAGTCCCATGTTGGGCGAGGTTTCACTTAAAAAAAGAGGGGGGTGGATTATGTATTTTCTCCTAATTGTGTAGACCTGTTCTAAGTATTACAGGGTATACTACAAAAACATGAGGCTGTGTCATGCAAAAAATAGCTCTCTTCCTCGAAAGATTATTAGGTAGGGGAAGAGGACAAGAAGTACAGTAACAAATCCCAAAAAGCTGAAGCAGTACAGAGAAATCCTAGAGAAGCACAGAAGGAGGAAGTCTGGTTCAGTCAGAGAAACAGACTCAGAAGCTAAGCATCTGATATTATAGAAAAACGAATCAGAGGAGCAGCCTGACCAGTACTTGAGGCTAAAGGATCATTTCAGTAAGGTAGGAGGAGTACAGGCAGCTTGAAAGGATAATAATGTATCAGCTCTCAAGAGCTCTTTGTGTCCTTATTTCTGCCTTTTCTTTCTGTTGCTAATTATAAAATGTCCCCTTCCTTCCTTCCCCTTCTTTCTTTCTTTCTTTCTTTCTTTCTTTCTTTCTTTCTTCCTCTTCCCTTCCTTCCTTCTTTCCTTCCTTTTTTCCTTCTTCCTTTCTCCCTCCCTCCCTTTCTTTCTTTCTTTCTTTCCTGACTTTGGATCCTTTTGTTTGGACCTTTTTTAAAAAAAATTTTTATAAACTTTTTTTAATAAAGATTTTATTTATTTATTTGACAGACAGAGATCACAAGTAGGCAGAGAGGTAGGCAGAGAGAGAGGAGGAAGCAGACTCCCTGCTGAGCAGAGAGCCCGATGTGGTACTCGATCCAAGGACCCTGGGATCATGACCGGAGCTGAAGGCAGAGGCTTCATTCAACCCACTGAGCCACCCAGGTGCCCCTTGTTTGGAGCTTTTTTGTTTTCTCTCACTTTGTGTGAATTGAGCTTCCTGATACTAACTTCTGCTCTGGCCCTCACCCTTTAAGCCTGGATAAAGCCTTCTCAACCACTTCTGCCTATGAGGATCATATATTGTGCTTGCTACCTGTGGTCCACTGGTGGCAAATATTAACCTTAAGAAACAAGAGGAGGACCTCCACACCAGAAATCAGGAGTGGAGATAGAGTGACTAGGAGGGAACCTCAAACAGTTGAATTTTTTTTTTAAAGATGTCATTTATTTATTTGAGACAGAAAAAGTGAGAGAGAGAATGAGCAAGCACTAGTTGGGGGAGGAGCAGAGGGAGAGGGCGAAGCAGACTCCTAACTGAGCAGGGAGCCCCATGCAGGGCTTGAGCCCATCAGGATCATGACCTGAGTCAAAGGCAAACACTCAATTGATTGAGCCACCAGGTGTCCCAAAGACTTAAACTTTTGACTCCAACTATATTGTTGGTATCTTAAAAATTTCCTGAAGTTATAATAAAATTTAGTTGTTTGCACAAATTAATAGTGAACTTCAAGGCATGTAGTTGGGAGGAAAGGTCAATTTAAAAAGTTTCTACAGGGGTGCCTGGGTGGCTCAGTGGGTTAAAGCCTCTGCCTTCGGCTCAGGTCATGATCCCAGAGTCCTGGGATTGAGCCCTGCATCGGGCTCTCTGCTCAGCGGAGAGCCTGCTTCCCTTCCTCTCTCTCTGCCTGCCTCTCTGCCTACTGTGATCTCTATCAAATAAATAAATAAAATCTTAAAAAAAAATAAAAAAAATAAAAAGTTTCTACATTTAATATGACAAAGAATAATAATGCTAAGGAGATTTTTTTTTTAAGATTTTATTTATTCATTTGACAGGCAGGGATCACAAGTAGGCAGTGAGGCCGGCAGAGAGAGAGTGGGGGGAAGCAGGCTCCCTGCTGAGCAGAGATCCCGATGTGGAACTCGATCCCAGGACCCAGGTGCCCCAATGCTAAGGAGATTATGAGAAATTACAGATGACTTAAAAAAAAAAAGAAATTACAGATGATACTGTAATCCCTATAGAATATCAATTAAATGATAATGTAAGTAGAGGAACTAAATTACATGTTAAAAAAAATATTTAATCCAAGGAAGGTGGCAAAGGAGAAAGAGAGGCACAGATGGGACAAATCCTAAACAGCAAAATGGTAGAGCTAAATGCAATCAGTAATTACATTAAGTGTAAAAGAAACACTCCAAATAAAACTCAAAGATTATGACACTGCATAAAGATGCCTGACCCCAGTATATGTAAAAGAGGCACATGTTAAATACAGAAACACAGGTTTGGAAGTTTGAAAGATGAAGATACACAGTGAAAACACTAATCAAAAGAAAGCTGGAGTGGACATATTAATATCAGATAAAATAGAATTCAAGAAGGGTATCATCACAGATACAGAAGGACATTTTGTAATGATAAAATGGTCAATTCATCAAGGTTAGGAATTCTTATGTGTAACTGCATTACATATAGGATATATGTTAATATTATAAATAAGGTTTATAATTTTAAGTTATTAATATATCATGTGCCTCACATCAGGGCTTCCAAAATCACAAGGTAAAAACCAACTGAACTAAATTTTTACAAAGAACAATCCACAATTTTATTATTTGGAAATTTTAACACTCCTGGGGTGCCTGGCTGGCTCAGTTGGCTGAACATCTGACTCCTGACTTTGGCTCAGGTCATGATCTCAGGGGTCATGAGATTGAACCGTGTGTCAGGCTCCGTGTTCAAAGGGGAATCTGCTTGAGGATTCTCTCCCTCTGCCCCACCCCCACCACATGCTTGTGCTCTCATGTGCTCTCTCTCTAAAATAAATGTATGAGTCTTTAAAAAAATTTAATAACCCATTCTCAGCAGTTGATAGAACATCTACACAAAAAATATTAAGTATCTAGAAAAGCTGAACAACACTGTCTACCATGTTGAATTTACTGGCATGTATAGAATACTTTACACACAACTTCAGAGTGCACATCCCGTTAAGTACACATGGAATGTTCACCAAGGTAGGTTATATACTGGGCCTTAAAGCAAGGTCAGTAAATGCAAAGGACTGAGAATATTTTCTACTACATTTAATGAAAGTAGAGATTAATACAACAAGATAGGAAATGCCCAAATATTTGGAAATTAAATGCCATACCTGTAATTAACCCAAGTAAAAAATTTTTTTAAAAAGATTTTATTTATTTATTTATGTGAGAGAAAGAATAAATGAATGAGCGGTTGGGAGGGGCAGCAGGAGAGAGAGAGAGGGAAGCAGGCTCCCCACAGAGCAGGAAGCCTGACTCAGGGCTTGATCCCAGGACTCAGACAGAGACCATGACCTGAGGCGAAGGCAGACGCTTAACTGAGCCACCCAGATGACTCCAAGTCAAAAATTTTTAAAGGAAAATGGGTTGAAATAATATATATTATCCTCTTTGACTGTAGTGGGATTAATCTAGATACCACCAACAGGTAATGGGGGAAGAAGCCTCAAGTTCCTAGAAATTAAGAAAAACACCATTAAGTAACCAAAGAGAAAAGAAAAAAGAAAAATAGAAATTGAAAAATGATTTTTTTGACTGAATAAAAATGAAGATGCAATATATTCAAGCTTGTGGATACAACTAAAACAACGTATAGGGAGGGGCGCCTGGGTGGCTCAATGGGTTAAAGCCTCTGCCTTTGGCTCAGGTCATGATCCCAGGATCCTGGGATCGAGCCCTGCATCGGGCTCTCTGCTCAGCAGGGAGCCTGCTTCCCCCTCCCCCCGACACCCCCCTCCGCCTGCCTCTCTGCCTACTTGTGATCTCTGTCTGTCAAATAAATAAATAAAATCTTAAAAAACAAACAAACAAAGGGAGTCTGCCTCTCCCTCTGCCCCTGCCTCACCGCTCAAGCTCTCTCTCTCTAATTAAAAAAAAAAAAAA